ATGTGTTTCTAATCTCTATATATCTGATTATTACTAGTCACAGTCGGTTACTTTCTGAGCTCCTTGGCATCTGAGCATGGATATAAAGTCATCAGGTAGATTTCAATGGTAATGTTTTTCACATCTACCAATTATTATTTTTTTTTAAAATCATTTTCTTAAATTTTTAATGACTACATGATTAGAAGTAGCTTTTCACTACAGATTTAACATATTCAGGAACATACTCCAGAGCAAGAGTACATCTCTTTCACAAGTGGGTGCAAGTTTCTAGATTCACAGTTGAGTTAATACAGTTATGCAATATCGAACTCAGTATAAGCCCTGTGAGACCTAAAATTGAATGAGTTTTTTAACCTTTAAAACAGATCTCTATTTCATTTTAAAATATATTGTTCCTTGAAGAGAGACTCGTTTTTGCTACTAACACTGGAATGTTGGCGCATGCATCTCTAATCTGTATGCATTTGATTATTACTAGTCATAATCGGTTGTACTTGGACCCTTGGCGCCTGTGTTATGTCTACGAAGTCACAGGGTAGATTTCAATGGTAAAGTCTATCACCTCTACTAATTAGCATGACGTAAATTTCCATGCTCCCTCCTCAAATATAATATATTTTAAAATGAATTAAAAAATTTGTTGATTTTTTTCTTGTGTGTGTATATCACACAGAACATCCCAAATCATCTTATTCGACTATACACTCACTTCCCAGATGGCACCCTCCCATAGCCTCCCTCCCCCGACTAGAGCCCTTATATTCTGATATCCCTGCTACTGTCTGCTATATTGTCGACACCACAGCCAATCCCCACTACTTGCCCTTCTGGTGAATCTAGTCAGCCTATGTAGAGATCTTTGTTTTAGGACGGTCAGCTGTTCTTCTTCTAGCAACAATCAGTTGTCAATACTCCTTTAGATAAGATTAGGGTTTGCTGTTCATTTTCCCAGTTCTATGCTGGGTTATTATTTGGGAGTCCCTTTGTTTACCCTGCCCAACAACTCAAAAGAAGGTACCTCCTATCTGGCATTGTTGCTTGTTATGTAGCCTTTAGCTATGCATATGGACTCTTAAGAAATTATACTGACCCCTTTAATCTTTGGTTATACTTTACTTTTGGATGTTTAAGGCCATACAGTATGCCCTGATAAACCAATTTATTTTCACTCTTAAGGTCTTTGAGGATCTGTTCCTCAGGGGTCACACGGGCTTGGGAGGAGGCCCTGGCTCCTTTCTTTTACCAGTTCCGCCTATATGAAGATAAGTCAAAGGTCCTGCTCGACCATGGTTGGCTTCGCTTGGAAGCATGGAGGAAGTGATTCCTCTGTGTTGACCCTCCTCTTTGTAGACTGGACACTGGTTCAGGTCCATCTGGTGGGGTCTCCTTGGCCTCCTTGATCAAAAAGACAGGTGACCCACCACCATTACAGGACATTTTGAGACATGCTCATAGTCCCCTGGAACTAGTTTACCTAGGAGGGCTAGGAGCAAAAACTGTCCTTTATGTCCCTCTTACCAAATTAGTATAGGCCTCAAAGTATGTCTGTTAAACATCCAAGAAGGTTAGTTCCACCAGTCTAGTACTTTTAATTACTGTGTGCTATGAAGATAAATCTAGGGCAAAGACCACTTGTTCTCAGATAAACCTTACCTAGACATATGTTTTTGATCTGCTATGTATAATCTGTCAGTAGGCTGTAGGAGTAATATGGTTCCTGCTGGTTTTCAAAACCAGCTAGGTATTACTTATCTCTCTCATTGTCTCACCCCTCCACCATAGTTTTCCCACTTAAGGTGCCTCCATTCCCTCCCTTTCTCCCTTAATAATACTTTTCCTACAGTCCTACCACTCTTGAGCTCCTTCTTTTCCCTTATCCCCTAGGTTCCTTGTATACCCTTCCTCCCCCCTCCCTTAAACTAACCCAAGTTTTGTCTCTATCTCCCTTATTAAGGCCTGTTTCCTACTGTTCTTCCCTTTCGGGTTCTTTCTTTTCCTTTACCTCCCCATTTCCTTTCCATTATCCTGGTTCCTGGAGTTGTCTGGATATATAGTCACTTATCAGGGTTTGGTTCTAAGATCCACATATGAGGGAGAACATATGTCGAATTTTTTTCTGAGTCTCTGTTACTTCACTTAGTATAACAGTTTCTAGTTCCATGCATTTACCTGCAAATTTCATGATTTCATCTTTCTTTATTGCTAAGTAAAACTCCATTGTATAAATGAACCACATTTTCATTATTCACTCGTCAATTCAGGGACACTTAGGCTGCTTCCATTTCTTAGTTATTGTGAAAAGGGCAGCAACAAACAAGGATGTACAAGTGTCTCTGAAATACGATGAGTTCTTTGGGTACATGCCAAGGAGTGGTATAACTGGGTCAAATGGTAGGTTTATTTCCAATTTTTTAAGAGTTCTCCACACTGCTTTCCATAGGGGTTGAAGCAGTTTGCAGCCCCACCAGCAGTGGATGAGTGTTCCCGTTTCCCC